GTGAGACGAGAATTACATCAAGGCAGGCTTTACTTTGCATGAGGCAATGCAAGCCGAATTTGGTGTTCTAAAGGAGTAAGGGCACTAAAGGCGCATATTGACGCTGCATGATACCAGGTGCTGAGAGGACAACATGGAAGATGTCACGCATTTTCACAAAGTGAGAAAATTTGCTCGGAAGGTCCCGACAGCTCAGCGAGATATCGATAGGTTCCAGGTGCTTTCCTGACCTGCCTTAAAGGACGTCTGTCAAAATCGTTGCGCTTGATTGACTGTCTTGACTGCATATTGAAACACCAACGAGTCAATTCTGTGCGCATGCGAGAAATCAATAATTTCCGTGTTTACAAAGCTCGGATGGATATCCAGGTTTCCTGAATAACATCGAGTGCGCTAAGGGCTGCGGTGAATTTCCTTCCTTTCTTGGTGACATTCTTTCTCGGTTTATTCGGCTTCTGACCCTGGAGAGGGCGAATGTGAGGATAACAAAAGATGCGGCCGTCGCAACGCTCGAATACTTTTGAATGTTCGCATTTACGGAAGCAACAGCAAAATCAAATCTAGGCAAGTGATTGCGCTATAGGTATGTGCACACATCTTTGATTTGGGCTATTGAGGAGGCTGGTGTCCGAAGGGAGTCCAGCAAACTTTGGAGAGCTCATGGGGTGGCTTGTGGCGGAAGGGAACTCTGAAAACGTTGGAGAGCTTATGGACGCTTCTTGCTATGAGCGGTCATTACTAACAGAAGAATTGCAAAAGTGATATTCCAAGATTGATAAACGTAACTCAATGCCCACAGATCGCAACAGCCTGCTGTCTCTCTGAGAAAACTGTATATCTTGTTGACCAGGTAGCTCTACTACAGAAGACGCCGCGTTAACGTGTTCTCTCCAATTTTTCCGTGCCGTCTGTTTCAGCTCGAAAATACAGGGGAGACTCACTTTCGAAGCCAGGCATCTTCATGGTATAGCGGACTCGATGCCTAATACATCATCCTTTATGTACCAATACTTTGGCTCAGCGCGGCCAAGGATTAGCGTGCAACTGCGTTTCAGTTTTGCTATTCAGCAATATTGAAAAAGCAACAGCCCGAGTCGCTGCGATTGACGGCATCCTCTCGAGAAGTAATCGGCGCCGAAGGATGGTCATGGGACATTACATGGTTCCTTGTAGGTAAGCATCGACACAGCAAATGTGCTTCACCTCAATAATCCCCCTAGGTCTCGCTCCATCCCTTTGACCCGATCCTCCAGCTGGCGTTTCTTCTTCTCAAGCTCTCGAATCTCGTCGTCTTCTCTTCTTATGTCTTCTTCGGTGACATGTATTTCCCCCTGGCCCTCAGCAGCATTCGGATCCTCTTCCTCTAGAGCTTCGTCGTCGCCGTCATCAAAGTCTCCATCACCATCATTGTGCTTGTTCATCTTTGCCAATTGCGCCATCTGTCTGGACACCTTCGATTCGTATCGAGCAATAGAGGAGTTGAGTTGTTCGTAGCGGGAGCGCAGAGATACGATCCTCTCAGCGGCCCCAGCTATTGGACTAGAAAAATATCAGCTTTGGATGATTTCCAAGTCTAAAGGGGACGTACTAGACAGAGCATAATTTCTCCGCTCCCTTGAGCAAGAGGTTCACGTCGATTTCTCCCCGCTCTTTGCCTTCCTTTGCGCCCTCTTTCCGTATTTGCTCTCCTAATTCACCTCCTAGAAGTGTAGCTACTGCTGATCTGGGCTTCTGGCTCCTCATTAAACTGTTGCCATTTCCGTAACGATCCCCAGTGCCGTTCATGCCATGGACTGTGCTACGGCGAGCAAGACTTGCAGCGGAAGGACGTGAGGCTCGTTCAGGCTCGGCAAGTGTAAATAAAGCTCGTTCATGTGCTTCAGTGTCCCGAATTAGAGCTGTAATATCATGGGAATGTAGTAAGGCATTGGTGAAGATCTTGGGTGTAGGAAATCTACAATAGGTGCATTAGCTCGCAATTGTGCGCGGAGTCTCTCCTGAGACTTACGGAAGCTCTGCAATTGCGACAGAAGACAACGAGATCTGCTCCAGATGAGTCTCCAGGAGCGTCATTGTCTATTAATGTCCTCAAAAGCAGAGTGATGCTGGGTATTATTGTCTTTCTTGCTGTTTCTGATCACGCGCTTCGGCCACTCGATGTCGCGTATGTAAATTGCATCATAACAGCAGTATTTCTTGTCCTCAAGTAATCAACGTAATAGGCAGGATCACGACCGAGCACGACTCAGCATCTCAGATCATCCTCTCCAAGTTGACTACGTACTACATTCCTGGGTCTGGATCTTTTTTCTTTCTCATTCACTCAATCAAGATTGAGCTTAGATTTCAGACACTGTGATTCGCGCTGGGTGAAGTGATCTATTCTCAGGCGCGGCCGACTGAGCTTCACCTCTCCGCTCCCTAACCACCAGGTGCAACCTTCTACAACTCGATCCTCTAGTATCGGTGTTTTTTTTGACTTCTTCTCCAACACCGAATACTCTAGCCTTACTCAATTCTACACACAAGAAGATCAACAGCTACACAACACTAAAGCTCTGGTGTCGCATTCGCCCCTCGGTGTTCATCACCTTAGCTTTTCGGCTTTTCCACCATGCCGGGCGAGAGACGGAACCTCAGGTCCACCAAAGACACTTCATCATCTACAAACGGCGAGGAACCACGATCAAATTCCCAAAGCTCCAGCTCCAACAAGGATCAGCCAGTGCCCACCACCAGAGCAACGTCATCAAAAGGCAAGACCTTACCTACGAAGAAGACTTCGGGAAAGGAGGGAGCTGAGGACAAGCCACATACAAATGGGACGGAGCCGGTGGAGAATGGCATCAACGGGACTGAAGATGTTGATATGGTAGATGACGGGTCCGAAAAGGTCAAAGTAGGGACAAATAAAGAGGGCGAGGACGAGATGACCTTGGTTGTGCCACCGTCGAAGAGCTCAAAGCTGTCAGGAGAGCCTAACAAAGATGAAGAGGGTGATGTTGCAATGGAGAACACCAATAAGAGCGATAATATTAGCTCTGAGCTCGATCCTAGAGCTAAAGCTGTTGCAGGTATGTGTTAAAGTGCAATTATATCGGTTCTTGTCACATTGTGTGCAAGATCATGATGATAAGCTAACCAGATTATTCCAGACGTCAAAGCAAACTTCACATTGTTAGAACGCGCTGTTGCGCAGTTTGATGCCCGTTTCACTTTACGAGTCCTTCGGTCTATCTCATCTATTCGGAAACACCTAGCGCCAGATCTTCTCGCCCAAGTCATTACAGAAACTTACACCTCAACAAGCTCTGTTGCAAAGACCCTTTTGGCTGCTTTAGGAAAAGAGGATGCGTCGTTCGAGGGCCCAGATGCACTTTCAGAAATGGACATCGACACACAGACGAAGGACAAGCCCCAAACCACAAGCAAGTCAACCACTCTTCCGAAAGACGTCCTCCCAGAGGTGGACACTTATCTATCAATCCTTGTCCAAATTCATCTTTATGATACTAAAGCGACCGAATTCGGGGCCAAATTCTCCAGCAACCTCGTGGAGAGACTTCGCTCCCTGAACCGTCGTACTCTAGATGCCTTGTCTTCCCGGGTTTACTATTACTACTCTCTCTTCTTTGAGCAGCTTGCCCCACTACCTCCTTCGCCTATGGCATCCGCTGTGTCCATCCGCCCCCATTTGCTGGCCGCACTTCGAACCTCGGTTTTACGGAAGGACCAAGACACCCGCGCTACCGTTACTACCCTTTTACTACGAAATTACCTATCAACATCTCATATTACTCAAGCCGATCTGCTAATATCGCACTCTGAATTTCCTGCAGCTGCCTCGAACAACCAAATCGCTCGATACCTCTACTATCTTGGCCGGATACGGGCAATTCAACTGTCATACACCGAGGCCCATGAGCATCTAGTTGGCGCTACTCGCAAGTCACCCGCAACACCAAGTGCAGGTGGCTTCTACCAGGCGGCTTCAAAGTTGTTGGTCGTAGTTGAGCTCCTTATGGGAGACATTCCAGACCGAGCCATATTCCGCCAACCGAGTCTCGAGCATGCCATGGAGCCTTACTTGAGCCTTGTCCAGGCCGTACGCGTTGGCAAGATTGAAGGATTTCTCAACGTTGTCCAGACACATAATGCTTTGTTCAGACGCGACGGTACCTATACTCTGATCCTTCGTTTGCGCCAAAATGTCATCAAAACTGGAATCCGTATGATGTCTCTGTCGTACGCCAAGATCTCATTGCGGGACATCTGCTTGAAGCTAGACCTGGAGAGCGAGCAGTCGGCAGAGTATATTGTGGCCAAAGCAATCCGAGATGGGGTCATTGAGGCTTCCATCGACCATGAGCATGGTTTCATGAAAAGCAAGGAGCTTGGCGATGTCTATGCTACCCGTGAGCCTGGCGAAGCCTTCCACGACAGAATTAGAGCGTGCCTCGGTCTGCATGATGAAAGCGTAAAGGTAGGTTGAACTCGCACGTGTGCCGTGTCTGAGTGAACAGCTGACATGAATCCAGGCAATGCGGTATCCTATGAACCAACATCGACTGGAGTTGAAGAACGCTCAAGAAGCTCGTGAGCGCGAGAGAGAGTTAGCAAAGGACATTGTCGAAGGCGAGATGGATGACGATGACGCCAGTGGAGACTTCGAAGGAATGTGAAGACTCGAAAGTCAGGACAACTGTCCATCACCAGACACTGATCATTTGCATTGGAAGATTTGCGAGAGCTTAGGCGGTTCACCCCTGTGTTACTACCTATCTGAGATCTTCGAGGTATCACCCTTTTAGCAGCATTTGGCGCCAGCGAGTTCAAGTACTCGCATGGGCTTTAATCACCCCTTGTGCACTTCACATACCCATGCTCTGGTGGCACTACCACGGCGCACCACCGCAGCATACAAATAGAAGTCTCAATAGCATGTTTTAAACCCTGTTTCTCTCGCAGAAAGTTCATTCATTCTTGTAGCCACGGTTCGAATGCCTACTTTCATCTTAGTAGTGGACCTCGAGGTAGCAAATTCCTTCTGCCAAACAACACCTTTACATTGCCGTCCGGTAGTTTAACCTGAGCCATGCTCATTTACAGGGATAGCTTTTCCCGCGAAATGCAGGTGTCGTAGCTACCATGTGAGTCCGTCATTCCAAACATACTCACCAGCTCGATCCTAACAAACCGGAGGGTTGACGTCTCCATCCGCATCCGCCGAGCCATCCACCTCAAAGACCTCACCCTTCTTCAACGCATCATCAAGAACAATCCCGAGAGCCTGCAGAACCCGGATTTCGCAGACAATGGCAACACCTCGCTCCACCTCGCTGCGCAACTGGGACTATTGGATATAGCCGTGAGCAAGCCAAACCGTCTCGCGCGTCTTTGCTTGAGCGGTGGCAGAAGCAAATTCCCTAATGATGGGGCTAGGAGTTCCTCATAGACGCCGGTCACGAAGACGACGGTATCAGCAAGAATGCCAACTGGGACACCCCGCTCTTGCTCGCGGTGGAGACATCGGAGGCCGTAGCCACGCTCCTGGCGACGAGGTTTCCGCGCTGTGTCCCGTGGAAGAACAAGCAGGGCGCTGACTCTGTATGGCCCCTTCCCCGTCCCCCACATCTTATCTTCCTCTGCTCTATCGCCCTCGTCTCGACCCCCGCTGACACCAGGCTCTCTGGCTGCAGCTGATGCTCACCTCCCGCACCCCGCACACCGCCCTGCTGACCCACCTCCTCACCCTTTCCCCCTCCCCAACCTCCCCTCTTGCCTCCACGGACACGTCGGGCAACACACCCTTGCACTACGCCTCCGCGTACGGGCAGCTCAAATCCATCCGCACGCTCCTCGAACACGGCGCCGATGCCGCGGCGCGTAATGCTTGGAGTTGGACGCCTGTCAGTTACAGCGCGAGTGTGCAGGCGGAGGTGTATTTTAAGGGGTTGGTGAATGCGGCGGAGAGGGAGAGGGAGGGGATGGCCACGGTTACTGGAGCGAGGAGCAGGGGTGGCAGTGGGCCGAAGATGGTGAGAATGGTTAGTGCGGAGGAGGGAGAGGAGTTTGAGAGAATGAGAAGGAGTGGCGAGAGTGGAAGGGTAAGAGCTGGTAGTGGCGGCTGAATAGATAGAAAGCTGGTGAAAGCTTTTATCCAGAAGCGACAATGCTAGGGTATATTCTATGGTCTCTATATGAGTAGCGGATACAACACCGAAGTATATTTACAATGAAGCCCAGAGATGGCTGCTGTGAAGATGCGTTTATGTGTACACCCCTTGGAAAGCTCCGGCATCATTTCCTTCTCTTCATCGTCTTCACGCACATCTCTAGCAGCCCTTCCTTGGCCTCCGAGTCCGGGAATCTGGAGATAGCATAAGCAGCTTTATCAGCATAATCCTGCGCCAATGCCCGGGTCTGTTCCAGACCGTCACTGCGCGCTACCAGGTCCCTTGCCATTTGCACGTCTCCGTCTACAGCGAACTTTCGGCCAACGAGGACGCCTAGCTGCTGGTTGTCTCTCCAGGCGAAAAGCAAAGGCGCGGTTGCTAAACCGAGCTCCAGATCTGCCCCGGCGGGTTTTCCAAGAGATTCGCTGGTGGTCGTGTAGTCGAGCATGTCGTCGACGAGCTGGAAGGCTAAACCCAGGTTCTTGCCATACGAGTAGGCTGCTTCTACCGTTTCTGGGGAGTTCTGGCCGAGCAATGCAGCTGCTCGACAGGATTTGCTAATTAGACTTGCCGATTTGAGGTAAGTCTTTTGGATGTAGTACGAAAGGGTGTCCTCTGTCCACGTGGGGTTTGTTTCATCCAAAGCAGTGTTTTTCAATTGCATGAATTCCCCTTCAACGAGGTTCGCTATCACGGTGGCCAAGAGTTCAATCACCTCCGCGTCCCTGAGTCTCGCTAACGCCACTGAAGCTCTCCCTAGAAGAAAGTCCCCTGCTAGGACCGCCATCTTGTTCCCAAAGGACACATTCGCCGAGGGCAAAGATCTCCGGACGACAGAATTGTCAATCACGTCATCGTGGAGCAATGAAGCGGTGTGTATAAGCTCCGTTATCTCTGCTAGCCGTCTCTGTGAGGGAAGTATATCGGAGCCTTCTGAATTATATGCAGCCTCGATTGAGCCAGCAGAGAGCGGATCATTAGACGGAGAGGACGGATTGACATCTGAAAGGACCGCAGGAGGTGAGATTGGGTTATCAATCGTAGATGCCGTAGGTATAGAGGGGTGCCGTGATGCTCTGGGTGTGAAAGCAGTCGCTTGGGACATCAGGAGAACGAGCAAAGGTCGTATATGTTTCCCTTCAGAGTGAGTGTAGTATTTCGCCACTGTATCTAGCATTGGATGCCCAGATCCCAGCAACTGCTGTATGTTTTTTGTGAGGAACTTCAGCTCTTTCCCTACAATCCGGAGAGGATCCACCGAAACTCCTGCAAGCCGGGGATCTGTCTTGGGAGTTCCATTGAGCACGTGTTGGGCAGCTGACACCGCCTGCGCCAACGTTGATTGATGTCGTCGACGCGCTGGGGGGTATTGTGTCGTCGAACACAGACTTCTCGTCAAGTCACCGCTTTTGCGGAGACATCCAGAGCATACATATGGTCTCCATTGCGGTGTACTTCTCTGACTTTTAAAGAGAGACTGCAAGCGACCTTTCATGCTCAACAACGAGGCCAAATCAACCCATATAGAAGAGGGATTAACCGTTGGGAGCTCGAAATATGACAAGATGTAAATGGGACAGCGGCCCGACTTTCGCCGAGAGTCCGATCACGATCTTGGCGAAAGAATCTCCACGACCATTCACCAAATTTACCTAGATTGTTGCTCATCAACGGAAAGACTATCTATTACAGCAACGATGCATAATGGTCCGCCTGACCATAACGCCCGCTATCCTACGGGCGCTCGAAGAGCTCCAAGAAAGGGGCCAGATTCCAGAGGCTCTTGGCGGAGCCTCTGAGCCCTCGCTTGACCAGCCTGCTACAGGCAATCCTATCACCCATGGACAAATCATCGCAGTTTCGAAGACCTTGAAAGAAATCAAGACAGATGTAACCAATGAAAAATTCGATACCCAGGTCTCATACCATCTGGATGACCTCTTGCGAGGGTCCAAAGTCTACGTCGAACCGCCAAAGCCTAAAGCTGAGCCTGTAAGTTGTACCTATCTTCAACTCCACTATGCAGTCTCACTGATTCGCAATAGAGCTCAGAGTACAAAGCCTTAATGGCCCGTCTTCGAAGAGAAGAGGAGGATCGAGCCTACGAGCGCATGGTCAACCCTCCTCTGCGTACAGAAACTTTCTCACAACGCTTTCCCAACTCTTCCCACGCAGCGCTCTTCCCCACATCGCAGGCGGACATTGGCGAGGACGATGAAGTCTCCTATGCAGACATCAATCGACAGATGACGCTGATCATCAACATACTGATCTCCATCGTTGCGTGTAGTGTCGCTATCTGGCTAGCTGCGCGCCATTGGAGTACGCCCACCAGGCTTGGCTTGAGCATGGGCGGCAGCGGGATGATTGGTATTGCGGAAGTCGTGGTGTATGCGGGATATCTGCGGCGGATCAAGGAGGCTCGTGAGAACGGGAAGAAGGATGTAGAAGTCAAAGAAATAATCAAAACTTGGATAATTGGTGGGGGAGATGAGAAGGCTGATCGTGACGAAGCTATTTTGCTTGGTTCAAAGGCGTCAAAGGACGACGAATTACGAAGGAGAAAGGCTACTCCCAAATAGTACCCAAAATGAAAGGCTAGATTTAATTGATCTCGTTCACGCCAGTTTCGGAGCAGATATGTTTACTGCCAATTGGCTTGGGCTTCAGCGATGTATTGCACAGGAGCACGATATGAATACTTAAAGCCAAGCAGTTGAGTCTTGCAGAAATTAAAGTAATTCGATATACAATTTTGGCTGTAAGCCTCGGGTACGTTTAGGGCTAAAAATCATCATGATACACGCATAGAGCCGATTGTTCAGGAACACTTCACCGCAGGCACAAGGTCTCTTCCGCCTCTGCTCCTAGCACAATCCGCACCTGCTGTGAGCGCCTTGTTTTTATTCAATTCCCATTCCTCACACGACACATCCATCTCCACCTCCCCATCCTCTGCCGCGCTCGGAATTCTTTCACTCTGCAATCGCTTCATACTAACGCTCTTGTTGCCCCTGACAAGGTACGCAATACTGTGCCTTGGGAAGTCAGCCTGCGCACCTGGGGCGTAGGTAACTCTGTGCATATTGCTCCGCAGGATCCCACCGGACCACTCAACAAGCGCATCGCCAATATTGATGATGGCGCAATTGGGTGCCGGCCGAATGTATCGCCAGGCGGCTTCGTCCGTGGGGTCACTGCCTGGCGTCAAGATTTGTAGCCCGCCCACTATGCTGCAGAGGAAGGTGATGGCGCCCATGTCTGTATGCCGGAGTAGCGAGGTGCGGCGGTTTGAGAGAGGTTGAGGGGGGTAGCGGATCATGCGCACCAAGGTACCGGAGCTGCGCTCTTGACTTACTAAGGATGCCAGAGTCCCACGCTGTAGTCCTAACCCTGCGTCGAGAATGGACAGAATTTGGGTGAGGATGCTATGGGCATGGCGTAGGAAAGATTCGATGGTCGAGCGGTGGGATTCGATGGCGTCAGGATGCGGGAGACTAGACATGTTGCCGATGATGTCGTCCTGGGCAAGTGCGTAGAACTCGCAGCGGTCGGGTGCGCCGGTGTCCGTCTTCATTATGCCAATATCCTTCCACCTAGACAGCTATTAGTAATTCGGTCTCAACCGAGGACCTCTGCAGTTTGCCTCTCTATGCCAAGGGAGGATTCTGGATTCAATAGACTCGAGGTCACGCACCCGGTGAATTTGCCTTTGGAAGCATCCTGTGCATATCTAGTTTTCTCCTCAATCTCAAGGTCGAAAACGTTGTTGCTAATATCGAACATCGCATCAACTTCACTTATCATGTTGTCGCCGATCTCTTCACCGCCCATTTCGAGAAGGAAAAATCCTGTTGTGCGGCATGTTTCGAATACTTCATGGGCGTATACAGAATCGCCAGAGAATAGTCTCGAAAGGGAGAACTTGGGTACGTCTGCGGTGGAAACATCTTTTGGAAAGGGGGGTAAAGCGTCGAACAATCTTTGGGAGACCATGATGACAAAGGCACCCAACTGATGACTTTTTTGGACTTTGGATTGTAAAGACCCGGAAAAGAGGGGGTGAGAAATCGGCCATCTAATATAATGGCAGCACACAGAATGAAAAGGCTCTGAATTGGGGCGGAATATTTCCTTTCGTATGCATGAGACCTTTGAACGGGTGATAGCACGAGAGCCAATTGGAAGGCAAGGTTGCGCTATGTCCGCTTACCACCGAGATCATGTGCATAACCCATACGTACCACTGGGAAGCCGGCCTTCACATTGGCCAAAAGAAGCATCCAGCGTTCGAAATGCAACATACACCGCTGGAAACATGCCATGTGTTCACACTCAGTCATGCACACCAATCCGGCTCTCCACACCCGCGAATCCTCTTGACCCACACCTCATCAACATATCATCTCACAGGATATGACGCAAGCTTCTGAAATACAGGCTCGGAGACAGTCAAATAAGGAACTGGACGGTATGCCTGACGAAACGAGAAGGATTCACAGGTCTGGTATGAGCCTGGACACGCCCAACAATAAAGCCCGAGATGCTTTCGTTGGCGCAATGCTTCGTGTAGCTGAAATCATTAAAGACAGAGACCAGTAAACCTCAACAGCTTCTGTGCAGAGAATTCACGGCCCGAGAGCTGGCCTTCCTTCAAGGCGTCACTCGCTCCTGCAGATGAATTCAATTCGACAGGCCTGCAGCCACAGCTTCCAAATTTCCTTGTAAGCTGTTGAAGAAGCATAATATGGCGCCATTCGATGGAATCGACAACCTTGTAGCTTTCTGAATGCTGCTCAAAACACACGCTGCTATTTAAGCCTGATAGCCAGAATGTATGGCCGAGATGATCAGTGCACTTACAGCCCAAAGGTGAAATACCCCCGCAACAGAAATGGTCAGAGTTTCAGTCCTACATGGACATCTTTTAGTCGTGCAAAGAGGGCCAAGATGCTAGCAATGAGACCCCACTTCCACTCACAAGCACTCCATGGTCACCTCGGCGTTCACCGGAGAAGAAAATATCGCTAACAGAAGGTAAGACTTTGCTCGTCTTTATGACATACCACTGCTCGTAACGATGGGTGGACTAGGAATGTCATTCGTACGGATGGAAGACTACCATGATCGATGGCATCGACCATGGGCTGGACAGGACGAAGGGTGAAAAGCTCGGATATTCTACCTAGCCATCACACGACCGTCCAGCTAGTTGGCCACTCCAAAACCCATGAGCCATGGTGGGGGTGTTCACGGTTCTGACGTCTCATGGCAAACCATCGAGTAACAATTACTCGATGAGATAAGCTAGCGGCACCCACGCGCAGAATAACGTCGAAACTCAATCGACGCAGGTCCAAACAAGCTGTGCTCTTCGGCAGGTGTCCTGGGTAAACACTGTCCTTATGCAAAGAATGCATTCCTGACAATGAAGGCTGACGGGTCAAATCTATCGAATATCTTGTATCTTAAAGTAGGGTAGTGGGGTGCTGGACACCCTAAAGTAAAAGTAAAGTGCCATCGCGCACGGATCTCGCTTAGCGGCTAGTTATCAAGCGCCGCATTCCGATATCCCTGTAGTGTATGTTTTGCAGCGAGGGACAAAGAAGCTTCCGGTCACGCTCCGAAGTCATTACTCGATAACATCGCTGCGATAAGCCAAACAGATCCAACGATCGAGTAACGGAAATTTCAATATGTCTAGTCTCACCCTTATGAACCCAACAGGGTCTCTGGGATCCGTGTCTCCCGGGGCAGATCGGAGACTCCCACAGGGAGCGGTGGAGTTGCATGAAACGATAAGAAGGGTCGAGGTACCCCACAAAGAGCAATTGTCGTTCCTGCGTATTCACTCCAATACCTTTGTGCACCTGAGGTACTGCTGCTCTCTCCAGGCTTACTCAGATTCATGCATGACTCTTTTCCCGCTGTTCATTCTACAAGATTATCTATTTGATAAGCTTTGTCCTCCTCTCCACCATTTCATGTTACACTGAAAGGACAACCAGACTGTCTGTACCTCCAAGTCTAAAATAGATTGAGGCACTACGGCCCTCGTCGAAGGAACCATAAGCTCTCTCTTGGTGACATATCATACCACAATCATGTCAACAGCACAGCATCCCCCAATAACTGTCCTCACCTCCTCTCGAGCCATCGTGTCAGGCGAAATGACTGCTGCCACAATAGTTGTCTCTCTCAGCACTGGCAAAATCACCTCAGTCTTCCACTCGGTACTTCCACCTTCAAGCTTCCCTGCTGAAACACCTTACACCGACTATTCTCCCCATGTACTGCTGCCCGGACTCGTCGACGCGCATGTTCATCTCAACGAGCCTGGACGGACAGAATGGGAGGGATTTTGGACAGGCACTCAGGCCGCTGCATCTGGAGGAGTCACAACGGTCATCGATATGCCGTTGAACGCCATACCACCGACGACAACTGTACACGGGCTGAGAGAGAAAGTGAAAGCTGCCGAAGGACAATGCTGGGTCGATGTCGGCTTCTATGGCGGCATCATCCCAGGCAACGTTCAAGAGTTGAAACCTCTGATCCAGTACGGTGTGAGAGGTTTCAAGGGTTTCCTGATTGATAGCGGAGTTGAAGAATTCCCAGCTGTCTCGTCGACTGATATTGCCGAAGTCATGGCAGAATTGGCAGACGAGCCCACAACGTTGATGTTCCATGCCGAGATGATTCCTCCAATCGCAGATTCCGTGGGCGACAACGTCCAATGGTCATTACCACCACTGGCACCAATCGGTCCTCTGAATGAATACAAGACGTTCCTTGCCTCGCGCCCAACCTCATTTGAAACTTACGCCATTTCCGAAATTCTCTCTCTAGCACTTCTTGCCCCAAACCTCCCCCTCCACATTGTCCATCTCTCGGCTATCGAAGCCATCCCGCTGCTCCGCGAAGCCCGAACAGCCGGTATCAAAATCACAGCAGAAACATGCTTCCATTACCTGACTCTAGCATCGGAGAAGATACAGGACGGTGACACAAGACACAAATGCTGTCCACCCATACGCACGCAATCAAACCAAGATGGGCTATGGGATGAACTCCTTTGGGAAGACGACGGTGTAATCAAGACCATAGTATCAGACCACTCACCATGCACACCTGAGCTCAAGCTCCTTCCACCTTCCATTGCTGGCAATCCGCTACCGACACCACCCTCGGAAGATGACAAAGAAATGGGCAATTTTTTCTCGGCATGGGGCGGCGTCTCGTCCGTTGGTCTTGGGCTCCCCCTCCTTTGGACTTCTGCCTATCAGAACAACCGCAAGATCGCACCAGAGGACATAGCACGCTGGTGTTGCGCCAACACAGCTTTGCAAGTGGGGCTCGAAAAGAGCAAGGGGCAACTGGCTGTGGGATTCGATGGCGACGTTTGTGTTTTTGATGATGAAGCGGAATGGGTAATTGGTGAGGGTGGCGAGGGCATGTTGTGGCGGAATAAGGTGAGTGCGTACGCTGGGAAGAACATGAAAGGGTGTGTAAAGGAGACATGGGTAAGAGGGCGGAAAGTATATGAAAGAGGAAGAGGGTTCGTGGAGAGGAAGCCCGGAGGTAAGCTGTTGTTGGAGAAAAGGGTCAAAGCTTAGGCGTCGGCGAGTCACAGATGGTTCAAGACTCTGGCTTAACAAACAAAATCTCCAGGAAGCTTGAGGAGCGCTGCATTTGGACCTTAGGAGCGGCAAAAGCGTGAATATTTGATCTTCGAGCGATTTCGATCCCACCTCTTCGGGGCTTTGTCTCTTCATTTGGGTACAAGTAGTTCCGGCATTTACAAATGAGCAGTGTCACGTGAGATTATTTGAGTTACGTCTTCTGCTGTTCTTCCAACTCTGCAATAATGGAGGTAGCATATAATGCTAGATGCTCTCGGACAAATTGGGAAAGAAGTACCTTTCTGTGATACCACGGGTCAAAAGTTCCCATGCCTTTGAGCGACTATGACGACAAGTCTCCATGGCGAATGACCTCTTCCTGCCATCTGCTGACGCTCAAAAGGACCAGATGCTAGACCATGCTGCAGTCCGCAACATAATATCCGAATCATTCCGTGCAAAGCGGCCCACACATCTATCCTATCATAGGAGGGTTCAGGCCGCGGTCATTGGTCCTTGCGAAATCTATGCAACCAGCTCTCTGGCCCCCGAATTGGTTCTTTGCTTGGTAACCTGCGTAGCGATCGTTTTCCGGCCTCAGGTGACCTGGACAGAAGTTTAGCCGATGACGCTTGGTGAGGTAGTCTTAAGTCTATCCGGTGACTTACCTGGGAACAAGCCTGATGCTGTTGCCGAACGGTCTTCAAGTGTCGATTGAGATCCACCTTTGCTGCGCGCTCCTGTGCCGAAAGGCTTTGCTGACGGCAGATATCTCGGAGAGGACAATGCACGGTCGCTGACTCCTTTCCTAAGAAAACCGCACATTCAACTGTCTCTGGCAGTCTGGCCAATGCTGTTAGACAGTCACGCTTCTCTTCCCAGTCTCCATGCTCAATCGGATCATGCCATAATAGCTTGAGTGTCCGCAGGTTTGGCGCCCGGAGTAATGTTTCGCAGATGAAATTTAACAACTTGCAGTTGATCTCGAGACGAATACGGTCCTCTGATGTCCAGACAGATGTCTTATTGACAGTATGGAACATAACACCCACGGAGATATTCTGAATGAATCGAAATTCTGGTTGACTGCGAAATGCTCGTAAAGATGCATAACTAGCAGTCCCTGGATCTATTCTGGCTTGCAAAGAATTGAAACTGATGTGCCATGTGGTATCTCTATAGAGAATATCCCGCGCTTCGAAGTAGACTTGACGACTGACAGTCAGAATCTCAGTGTGACATTTCCTCAGGCAGTAAATATTGCAATTCTTGTCGTCTTGGACAAGATGGTATATAGGTAATAAAGTGTTGTATTCGGCAAGGCTGGAAGTGAAATAATGACAGAAAATTTCTCGTCGTAATTCGAGGGGTAGAGAAAGTAGGCAGAATTGGCCTGTCTCTTCATGGTATGTTTGTACAGTCGATGACATTCCGTGTCGAATTTTGGCAGGAGAGTCTTTGGTGATCAAGGCACTCACGGAACGGTGCCCTGTAACACAAAGCTCAGCTCCTGGCTGAGAGCGTTCCGTGCCCATGGTGTATTTGCACAATGTGTATGTCTTTAAGAGACTTGCGTGTCACCGCCGTGTCTACTTATGTTTACAGCCGAGGAGCGGCCTTTTCTTTATCTCCGCCCGAAGTTCAGCCAGTAGGGTCTCGCTAGGCCTCCAATCAACACCCCCTGACCCCCTCGTTCTCATGCTCCACCGCTCAGTTTTCAATTGAAAATCTCTTCACTTTAACTACCCGGATCATCAACACTACCACTCTCCAACACAGTAAACATCGAAAGTGGAAATGGTCAGTTTAAGAGCTTCTCGATCGCGCGTTGACATGGGACAGCAGTCATCTCAGCCTCAATTTCCACCGGCAGAAGCGTCTGCTATGAAGGACCAAAGGAAGAGCAAGGGCAAGAGGGGCAAGTCAAGGAAGGGCAAATTAAAGAGCGCTGAGATGGGAAGAACCATTGATCAAGAGGAAGAAAGCGCACTTGCTTTGATGCATATGAGGGAGGCTCCGATTCATGATAGAATGGGCCCGTACTACGATGACAAGCAAGCAGCTTCAGCGCAGCTCATGGCCGAAAGTTCCCCATTTCGCCCTTCTACAGATCCCTACCTTGATGATGCAGAGCCTGTACGGAAATCCAAGAGTCGCGAGACAAACAATAAGCGGCGCATAAAGAAGCGAGGTCGGACTGATGTCTTCGAAGTTGCTGGCAATGAGGAGCGCTTCAAAGAAGCGGAGCAGTACCCGGACCTCCTATCCACCCCCCCAAGGCAGATTGACCGCTCGTTACCATCACCATATCGTCCGAACATCCCTCCGGCGAATGCCCTTGATGAAGTTCCTACTGACGACGATGATGTCGCTGCATATGAGGAATACGCAAAGGACACCGCAAGTGCTGATCCGCCTGGTATCCCAGACCTTGATATGTTCAGCTTCTCGCAACAGCCACCGAACGCTTTTGACCAAGACAAGGTTGGAGAAGGCATGCATGCAACCTGTCAGCTACCTACAAATATGTATGCCTTGCCTCAGACCGCTGAGAAGCAAAAGAAGAAGAAGCGCAAGAGGCGCACGGACGATGAGGAAGATAACCAGCAAAATTTTGCGCAAGGACAAGGTCAGCATATCCCACATTTTGATTTCGAAGTATTCAATGGCTTTCTCGAAATTGGAAATGAGCTCCGCTAATCTGTTGCACGAACATGAAGGCGATAACATGCCCATTGATCCTCAATTACACAGCATAAATGTTCATCCACCTTCGGCCGACTTGAGCAATTCTAACGACGAAGATCTCAACAACTCGCAGAAGAATGGGGGAGATTCTGGCAAGCATGACTCTTCGCAATCACGCAAACGTAGACGACTGGAAGAGCTGCAAGGCGCTAACACTACCGATCTACCGTACATGAGTCCTTATGCATTCCAACATGACCAAGTAGACAGTCAAGACCAGATCCTGCCTGGATTTGAAGATATGCAAAGACAATTATCGCCTGTGCTCGGCTCCCCTTTCCCGGATAGTGCTGCTGACGGAGATCCTGATTACTCAGACGATGGAGTGCAAGCCAAGAAGAGCGCTCATCGCAAGAAAAGGGGCGAAACGAAAAGAGCTAGACTCAAGAAGGAGCGTGAAGGTAGCCGAAAAGGCGATGAGGTTGAGCGCCCAGTGAAAGACAAAGCGGAGAACGGTGGCGCGTTTTCAGCTGCGGAGGGCTTAAAGTTGGATGCCTTTCGTGACAATCATTGCGAAGCCAACGACATGACCACTTGGCAATTCAATAACTTGATTCAAACTCCAATGCGAGGGAATGCTCAAGTCACAGCGCTCTTCAACGAGATCCATGACATCCTGGCCTATCGTCCCCGGATGTCCGTTCAGAAATTCTGTAGACGTCGATTCCATAACTTCTCACGCGGGGCGTGGAGTGCAGAAGATGATGAGATGCTAAAGCAAGCGGTTGCAGAGAAAGGTAAAGCATGGAAGGTGGTTGGCGATTCGTTGGGCCGCATGCCCGAAGACTGCCGGGATCGATGGCGAAACTACCTCGTCAACTCGGAACACCGCAACCGAGAGCAATGGACAGATGCGGAAGTTGTGAACCTGTGCACAGCAATACTTGAATGTATGCAGCTTATGAGAGAGGACCGGATGCGCGCCAGAAAGGGGGTGGAAGATGTGCCTGAGTCTGGGACCGAATCGGATCAAGAAGTTGAAGACATGAAACACATCAATTGGCAGTCTGTCAGCGATCGTATGGGCGAACATGGTGGGGGGAGATCAAGGTTACAATGCAGCTTCAAGTGGGGTCAGCTGAAGAAGCGGGAGCAAGCAGACTACCTGAAAGCCATCAAAGAATCACGAGAGATCGACAAGAAGAAGTCTACACCAGGAAAGAATCCTTGGAGGATGAGATTGGCTTCCAAGAAGGTTGTCAACATGAAGCTTGGAGATATACATGCTTTCCTGCAGGCAGTTTTGGATAGTGATGTTCCTGAAGAGGGAAACATTCCATGGAAATCCCTTGGAGATGACGAGTTCCGAGCCACATGGACTTCCACTGATAAGAAAGCTGCGTGGTCAAGACTCAAGGAGCAAGTACCGGGATCTGAATCAATGGATTACCGCAGCGTAGCGAACGAAATGCTTTCCCGGGTAATGAACGGAGGCGCGGCTGCACTCGATGAGAGATGGGACCCTCAATTGCATGGAGATGTGAGCGCGAAGGCTAGGAAGAAGAGGAAAACTAGCAAGAAAAAGGATAAGGGAAAGGGGAGGGAAGAGATTGAGCCAACGAATCGCTATCTGCAGAGGAGCAACGAATTCGTTTACAACAGCGATGACGTGGACGGAGATGCTGGAGAGCGGACAGGGCTGGGTGGTTTCGAGCCGCAGGGCTATAATCGTTACAACGGCCTACCGATGGCTGAATGTGAGGATAGCGGGTTGAATTCGAGTGATAGGGCTGGGTGGATTACTGCTAACGACAAGGACGATATTTTCAACGATCGAAGGAACGTAGATGGGAATCTACCCATGGCAAATGGAGACGTGAGCCCAGAACTCGCAGGCCGAGTGCAAATGCTCAACGCTTACGCCTAAGGTTTTTTCGAAAGTGGAGAAACAGCTTCGTTAAGTCTGTCTGATGGTTATGGAGGCCATTGCTCAGTGAACATGCTCGAATACGTATCCCGTCAGCTTGAATATCAGAAAGGAAGCTCAATAGCAGAAACAAATTCTGGTTCAGGATCAGTTGGAATGCTTTCACAGGGCAAGAATCGGATATTTCTGAGCGATCTAAAGCATCTCGCAAAGCCTTCATAGAGCCATCTTTCCCACCGACCATCCACGCATGAGCCCCTCGCAAGCACGTAACAACATCATACCCGTAGTGGGTATCCCCGAGGTACGCCAGCCCACGCCGTCCGCGAGCCCTCGTCCATCACGCACGCCTCAATTCGAAAACTTGGCGGGCATCTTC